ACATGAATCCAACAATAATTCATTCCGTTTACAAAAGTACATTCATATGTTCGCCTATCTATACTTGTAGATGTGTGTATCCCATTCAATGATTTAAAACTAAGTACAAAACATTTATTTACTTTACATAATTTAGCTGCACAAACATGTCGATTATGAAAAATAAATAAAGCTGGCTGAATTGCCTCCATTGTTCTAATTGAAGTTCAAACCTGATATAACCTCACCAAGGTGAAACATGCTTCCTATCCTGCATAAAACATCGCATTCCAAGAAATCCTTAGCATTAACCTTGTGTATGCACGCATGCGAAATTGGCAACGCAAGACATGGAAAGAGTGACAGAACGAGGGGAAAAGAGGGAGGGCAAATGATGATTAAAGGGTGGAATATTAAGAGATGAGTAATGTACACTGTACATGTAGGTGCACGGGGGTCTTGCATAGAAGATGTGATTAAAGGCAACTATAAGAAATCAAACACAACTTCTAAATACTCAATTCTGATTGGCTGAAAAGCAAGTCGTGTTTGATTTCCTTGAGTTGCGTTTAATCGCAAATTATATGCAAGACCCCCTAGAAAAGATAAAGAGTAAGTAAAATCAAGTTATTCGAATTTGGAGACGGTTGCCAAAGTTACCACTAAAATAAATGATTATGGTTATTGATAAATCTGAAGTATTTACTACAACTTAGAGCTTAGAAAGGGTTCCATTGTACATACAATGTATGCCTACAAACATGCACAGTACATGTATGTTCAGGGTACAGTACTTCATATGGCATAACATACAAATCGGTCTTCAATTATTAATTGGCCAAGTTTATTCTCTTTATAAAACCCAAATGCAACAACAACAACAACCAACATTTTAAAAAAATATGCAATATCAAATATACATGTAGCAATATTGAAAGCTACACGTACACAAAATTAGAACCAATTTACCAATGGGCAATGTATTGAAATATTAAGATCTATTTACTAATGGGCCATGCATTGAAATATCAAGATCTCCTCATGAACATTTTTTATCACTGTGCACAGGGATTAACCAGTGACTCATGGACATTTAATGCATCCAGTCGGTTTAATTTCAAGCATTAATTCAATTGTGAAGAGACGATGCCCAACAGCTAGAAAGTGGCACAATTTTGACCCAAGCCAAAATAACACTTGTTCCTTTACACCCATTACACTTGCCTCAAATGAACTTTAACACCGCTGGATCGGTTTAAAGGGATCCAGTAACTTTGTCTCAGATTCTGAAACAAAATTCTGGATTTAGCTCATGCTGCAATGATAATTATAAACCTTCAGGAACCCCATGACTTCAACAAGCCGATCGCATGTCTGATTATCAGGATATTTATGATTGGAAATCAAAATCAAATTTTGTGTTTTGTTAACGATTTTCATAACACTACAGTCTATTGGGGAACACGAGTATGGTAAAACCGGTCACTCAAAGATGTTTACTTTTTTGAGGCACTTCTGGATCATTTTGAAGCGCATTTTTTTAGGGCTTCAATATTACATCATATCACAGACACTGATAAGACGTAGGGCCGAGCATCTCAGATTTAACATTGTTAAAGGATGCTTTTAAAGAAACCTTGCACCAAAGAATGAGTGTATCTACATGTATGCTAAAAGATGAGATTTATTCCTGCCTGTCGATGTACAATATTCTTTATGAAAATGTACAAGAGATAAATGAAGATATTCTTGTTTTTGGAACTTTTGAATAGTTCTTTTTGATATGGTTTTATTGTGTGTTTGTAAAGTAGCACTGTTATGAATTTTATTTTTCATCACAGTCCAGTAGATTATATTGTGGAAGCTGCACTATATAAATTTATATTATTTATTTAAGACGTAACATTGCCTTTAAGCATGACATGAGAGCAGCCGACCATTTCATGATAATGTGACATACTGTGCTTTACCGGTACCGTAGTTGGAAAGACTTTTTAAATAATTCAATAACAAAACCTTTACTTTTCAATGAGGGAAATTATAGCTAAAAAGGTAAAGATTATATTTGGTGGTAAAGATTACATTTGGTGAAAAACATACAACAGGGAAACAATTGTACAATGTAAGTCATCTATTTTTAAATACTGAAATAAAGCAGTTGACAAATGTATTTCATTCATGTGAAAACTTCACCTCAAAAGGGCAACAACCTTTTTTGCAATTTGTGTTCATACAATTATGGTACAAAAGAAAATTACAGGTGAATGAAATAATTCATCACCACACACAATGGTGATCAAGCATCCATAAATTTGAATACAATTACTTGACACAACGACTTTGTATGGTACATGTACGTCACTTTATCAAGAAAATGGCAACGCCAATGATGTGCTGAGAAACTGTACAATAAGCTAAAAATATCTTGCTTTATAATACAATGTACCTTTTCAATAAAATTTGGTGGGGAGTCTTAAAGATCAATGGGCAAGAATACAATACATCTCTCAGAATAACTACTTGAGTTATTTCTTTGGATGAGGTTTCCTTCAATTCAGATTCACAATTTAGCACCACACTGTTAAAGGAAACCAACACCTTCATACTAAGTTACTTTTATTGTAAAGTTTAAGATATTTGAAAAATATCAGTGAAAATTTAAACAAAATCCGGCAAGGAATAAGGAAGTAAGAGCTTTTTGAAATTACTAGTCACTAGAGGGCGGTATTCAATTTGATGACATCATCTGTGGACAACTCTCCATCCCTTTTGTACATCAAATTTCATGTTTTTCCTTCTTTCTTGTGATTGAGATAATGTACTCCCCTGAAAGCAAGATATAGAATGCAAAATGATATTCTACTTCACATGTTATGAAGTCGGATCAAGAACACAAATAAATACGAAGAAAACAAAAAAATTGTGAAATTTTATGTACAAAAAGCGTGGAGAGTTGTTCACAGATGATGTCATCAAATTGAATACCGCCCTCTAGTGACTAGTCATTTCAAAACGCTCTAACTTTCTTATTCCTTGCCCGATTTTTTTCAAATTTTCACTGATTTTATTCAAATCTTTTAAACTTTACAATAAAAGTAACTTAGTATGAAGGTTTTGGTTTCCTTTAATAAGCCAGTTCACGGTTGCAGTCTGAGCATGAGCAGATAAAGGTCATTGCAGAACAAATTTTGAAATACACTGAGACGTTATACTGGATGCGTGCTCATGAAAGTTATGTGATCATTATTCATTCATGCACATTCAATGAACTCCATGATACACAGGTGGAAGTATTCTTTGAAAAGGGGAAACAAAGGTTATCTATATATCGCTGTAGGAGTGATTATTTCAAAATGTACAAAGTGGGACGTCTTCATGTTTTGAAGATCTGTGGATATTCGGGGTCATTGCAGTGATGTGCTAACCGTGAACTGGTCTATAGTAGTGTACAAGGATGTACAGTGTACAGTACATATGGTACACATTTACATGATGTACAGTAGTGTATGGTTTTAGGTCTTTAGGATATGAATATTTCAATGTTCTTTATGCAATGTTCCTCCAAAAGTACAAAATGAACTTTAGAAGTTCATAGATTGGGGAAATACATAAAAGTAGTGCATCTTATGAAAGAAAGGTGTGATATACATTTTATCTACAAATTCGTCATAAATCCTCTGTTTTGATTACACAATATTTGTGCATTCTCTTTCACCTACAAAAAGCAGATTTAGCGGAGGAGGGCTTTAAATTGACAGAGGTCTGAAATCAATTACTGGGGCAGAAAGGGAGCAAATATCTATTAGTTCAATAACACCTAAATACACCCACTCAGGCAGTATTACAAAATAAGGCACATACATTATACTCCCTCATGCATCACTTGGAATGAAAGAGAACAACAAAATTGAGGGAAAACAATTTCTTTTTGTTTGTTTGGCAGAATGGAAAAAATCCATTTGCATCATAAGCATATTGGATTAAATATGAAAAGTATCAAAAGTTCACTCATAGTTTATATCAATTCTGGGAAAAGGAGACCAAAGAAAGCTGATATATATACTCACTAAAAAATTCCAAAAACCATGAGCACTTGACCATGTGGAAAATGAAACTGCATTTAACTTTCTACACCGCCATCAGTCCATTATAAAATGGATACCTTAATGAAACTAAATGCTGGAATATTGATTATTATTTAAAACAATTTTGCCAAATCAATCAATACCGGTAATTCCATGGCAAAATGAACCTTGTGCCATATCAAATATTGCACAATCAATAGTTTGTTCAAAGTATCCGGTGAATTTCCCTACATGTATGTATTTCAGTTTCAGTTTCAGCACTTAATGTATTACTTTTTACAACACCATTATAAAATGATGTACCTTGAAATGAAATGCTGGAACATCAATTAATTATTTAGAACAATTTTGCCACATCAATCAATAATTCATTGGCAAAATGATAATTTTGCCATATCAAATATTTCACTATCAATTGTTTGTTCAATGTATCTGGTGAATTTCCCTAGATGTACATGTATGTATTTCAGTTTACATTCAAAGGAACTCTTGATGTTGTACTGCATAATCAGCCCTACACAAGATTGGTTTGGCTTTAGAAGTAGAATATTAAGTACATGTAAAATATGTTGACAGTGTCAGACCATCAAGTTAAAAGTTTAAAGTAAAAGGTGTTCAGTGAAATACATGAATATTTCTTTTACTATCAAAATGGATAGGACCCTATTTTGTGTGAGATGATGAGGATGATGAGGATGATGATGATGAGGATGATGCTGGCATCGACGGTGATGATGGTGATAGTGTTAAAAAGTAATACTGATTTGAAGATAATAACATAAACATTGTTGCACATTGCCAAGCTGAAAATAACCCTGAATAAACTCAACAAAACTGTTGAATGTGGATGAAGTAAATAAAGAAATACTGCTTATTTTTCCTAGGCCTCAACTGGCGAGACACTTGACCTAGCTCAATCAAGAATGAGATCCTTACCCCGTGACTTCGGAAGAGGTCTAGAGCTCTTTTGACATCAAACTTCCTAGCCATGAGGAAACGGACAGCTGTACTCCATGACACAGGTGGAACATTGTATTGCGCTCTTACTCTATTCAAGTGTTCCAAGAATTGACGAGTTATCTGGAAATGAAACATTGGGAATAAGAAAAAGAATACAGTTATTTATAGAAACATCATCAACATCACATCAACTTGTAATATTAACATTTGCATTTTCGTAAAGTAAAAACAACCCTTGATGTCATACTCTTGCAATGTTCATAAGGGATTCCATTGAGTTACATGTTGGCATGCACTACACATCCAAGCTAGTATGGGACATACATGTAAATATATAGAGTAGTAGGTAGATAATGTAGATCACTTTTAATAAGATGATGAATGTTAAGGTTGAAATTCATTGTGAGGATGTAGTAATTAGATGATTAAAAAATAATAACAGAAATAAAAATAAAGAACATATCAAAAGTTTAAACTGTATTTTTAGAAAGCATGTAGCATAGGAGAGACCCATATGTACCTCTGTGCACCCAGTCTTCCCTCCCCCTCCCCCTCCCATCTGCCAATAGTCATACATCGATGAATGCCCTTCCACAGGGCACTTGTAAGACCCCCATACAGAACTGACAGGAATGAGGATAAATGAACCTGTCATCATCAAGGTGAGACCATTATTCATCACATCATGATTCTTAATATTAACACTACCAGAGGGGCACACCAACCTTATACAGGTCAGGAAACACCCCTGAAATGTCACATAATTAGACAAACAACCTTGCATATCCTCACAGTGTAAAGTACATGTACCACTAGCTGATGCACTTTCATTGAAAATAAAATAGGGCCAGTAGAGAGAACACTTTTATTTTCATGAGAGCTCATTTTCGTATTCTATTTGAAATGGTGACATTTGCCTACATAATACATTTATCGTTATCTTTAAAACAAAAATAGAGGAAAATAGAGGGAGACAGAGTGAGAGTGAGTGCGTGTGAGAGAGAGAGAGAGAGAAAGAGAAAGGGGGAAAAAAAAGGAAAAAGAGAAAGAGAAATAAAAAAAGAGAAAGAGAAATAAAAAAGAGAAAGAGAAATAAAATAAGAGAAAGAGAAATAAAATAAGAGAAAGAGAAATAAAAAAAGAGAAAGAGAAATAAAATAAGAGAAAGAGAAATAAAATAAGAGAAAGAGAAATAAAATAAGAGAAAGAGAAATTTAAAAAAAGAGAAAGAGAAAACCCAAAAAACAAACACTTTTTTTTGTCATAATGGTAGTTTTTATAACGCTCTTATGGAGCTTACAGAGCTTTGTTCCTGTTTATTATTTCAAGAGACGGGGCAATAATTTAATAAATTAAATTTGTCATTCCAAGTTCACATCATGAAAAAAATAAAACAAAGTCTCAAAATGTTGTAAATTTAACTTGGAAGAGAAAGGTTATTCCACAGCAGCATCCTGTACAAGCTGACAGGATAGACTTCTTGCCCTCTCAAAACCCGAGGCACCCCTTTAAGCTTCCGACGATGTTATCAAGTGCTCACCTGGTCGTGTTGTTCCCAAATGTCAAAGGATTAAGAACAACACAACAGATTGATCAAGACTCGGGCTGAACTTCAAATAATCCCCACGAACATGTAGTAGTAGTATACAAACCACCCCCTTTGTAAGTTATCCTACTCAGGTAGGCCATGCTGACATAATTTACGAAAGCACTCAATCTAAGGAATCCTCTCTATCCTTCCTGGAAGCGTATTAGGGCATAAAACAAACACCTAGCCTGCATGTACCGGTATAGGACGCCGTCGACGGTGAATTGGCCATCCCAAATACACGAAACAAGGTGCTGAAGCATAATAAATGTACATGTTAATTTATAGAATGCTCTTGTGCCCATATGTTGACAATTTATATGTTCCATTATGACACGAGTCATTTCTTGTGTTTTGTTTTTTCTTTCATGTTGTACAAACAATGAACTGAAAAGGGGGTATTCTGATCTACTGCAGAATACCCCACAAGAAACCCTGACCCCAATCCTAAGGATAAAAAATGATGTACATGTACATCTTTATAATAACAAATATGCATGTCATATAACTTACGCATGAACATGTATAATTTGCTTTGATTGGTTAATTATGAATATTGAAAATTTTGCTCCAAAGCTCAAAGGAAGAAATATGGTGCTTCAAAACATGATTAAAATATTTCATTATATTTCTTGTTTAATGGACCAAGAGTTTTATGAGAAATCAAAATGTCTCAAGAGAATTATAACAAAAAAATATGTATAGGCTATGAATGGGGCATTTACATGTATGGTAGTTTTATGGCGTCTATATTGTACTTCCGGCCTGATGTTTGATGTAAATATTTGTAAGAGAAGATAAGTACAGTATGTATTGTACTGTACACATGTACATGAACATGTACAGTCATTATCCTCAGTCACAGTATAATCCAATAAAACGTTGCATCACACCTTGAATGTTTACTTTAATAGTGTAATAAACCAAATGATGATACATGACAATACATCTGTGTTTTTTTAACATCAACAGCCACTAAAGCCGAGATCAACTGACACAAATTCAATGCCAATCGGTCGGTCTGGTCTTAGGGAGGCTCATGCGCTACTCATTTTGCAATTTGTCTCGTTAACTGCTGAAATGATAGAGTATCCTGACAGACTAATAAAATTCCTTCCCTCATTTCCTCTTCTGCCATCAGGCGGCAAAGGTCATCCTTTTTTGTGTTTTTTTCTTGCCCGTTGGAGTCCCTCTGAATGACTGACTGGTTGGTTGGTTTGTGTGCGTTCCTGTGTCAATGTCCTTGCTGGCCTATCTACTGCCAGTTATATTATTGATGGAGCTTTAGAATATTGACATCGCATTGAAACTTGTCAGTTTGTACACTATAGTACAAAAGATGTACGATGACAATGTACTTTTAAGGCGAAATAAATGTCTTCTATACATGTACATGATTTCTAGGAAGAGGAGAAGGTTCGGTATAATGAAAATTGCTTTATCATGCTATGCTATTCTATGCAGAGCGTGATGCTAGTCCACTTGTCGCCTACATGTACATATGTCGGTTTTTCATAAAGATTTAAAACATCATCCAAAGCTTAAAACACCTGCATTTAAACATGATTCTTCAATTCTCATGAACACACCCTGAATCCGATGTACATGTATCTGATTATCTTTGACTGACTGCCCTTCATCATTTCATTCAACTATGTGCAGTCAATTTCATCTTGCATTCATGTGTATACATGTACAAACACATTGAATGGGCTAAGAGTAATTGGAAATGGAATATAAACAAGAGGCGAGGAATTCCATAATGATGAAGTCCCATCATGTGCATGTTGATGCACATCAAAATTCACAGCCAGTCCGATCTCGCTCGCCGAGCATGTGCTGGGAATTCTAAAAACGGGGATACGTGCTTGAGATTGGGAACCTTTCTTCCGTGCGACTAACCCTCTGAGAGGGTCGGATTTGGATTTACCCTCTCCAAAGAAACGATTGAAACCCAGGCAAGATGGAAGCCGAGCTGTAGGCCAGGAGGTTCCCTATCAAGCTATGCCTATAGGGGTGTTTATGTCTTGAGCTGATATGTAAATGTGTGATTCATTCATTACCACCAGCTCCTCAGAGCAGAGCACCATGAATATAAAATGATCGTTCAAATAGCCGGCAACAAATGGCAAGCACCGACCGGGCGACCGGGCAAGGTTTGTGTGCCCATCTATCAATTACAGACTAGCCTGCAGAAGGAATAAATGAATTAATTGAGAGGGTCGCTGCTGATGAGAAAGGGCTTCCTTCCACGGACGGCCAAGGATCACAGTGACTGGTTCATGCATTCACGCACCAGATTGAAATGTCATCAAGTATTAACCCTGGCCGAGCTCTAACGGTTAATATTTCACGCTTACGTGAGTTTGTGGGAAATTTCATTTCGGAATAAAGCTGTGAACAAAAGGCCTTTACTCATACGAGTATGACTAAGCGCAGTGTTTTCCCTTGTTCTAAATAAGACTATTGTTCTGGATATTAAGCCATATAGATAGACTCAAATTAACCTCAAATTAAATTTATATTGGAAGGTGATTAATAAATCCATTATTACTTTGGAGCATGTCTATACTTACATCTAGAAATAGTCCAATTCCCAATTATGACCCCACCCCCTTTCTTTGTTTAGTTTCGCATCTATTTTGCAATCCTAGAATTACCACGAATGAAGTCATGATACTTGGAACTCATGAGTTACTCAATAGTTTCTAACTCCAATCTGAGTCAACTGAGAGCCCTTCCCTTAGGAAAAGAGGGCTAATCTACCAAGTATACCAAGTAAGTAAGTAAGTAAGTACATGTAAGTATAAATTCAACTACTTATTCCTCTAATAAAATCTGACATATACATGTCAAGTCGGTGGAAAATAGATAGTTTCTCAATTGACACAAGTCCACTGAATTTTGTTAAAGACATTCTTCTGTTTACCTTCAATGAATGTCTTGCTGAGGTGGAAATTATGGAAATATTTTTGCATAAAATACTTTATAAAACTTGGCTGAATCATTTGGGACAATTTAAGAAACAACCTTCAAGGGTTATAGGGGGGATGAGAAAAGCCTTCCTATCACAACTGCTTCTTTTATACCTGTACATGTCCATGTAGTTGGAAAATGAGAATTGGAATATGGCTGTTAGGGGGTGATCTAATTGTAATACACTGTACATGAATTGCCAACAGTTAGTAAGACCATACAATGTACATTTTGCCTATGTACATGTTGCCTTACAATCTACATGACTATTGTATATAGGCCAGGATCCAATTCTTTTCACAAGATTGACACAATTTGGATAACCATTACAGATCACCATTCTTTTTCTCAGAAATCATGTAGCAAACACAATGAAATCACACAGCGTTCAGTTCTAAAAGTAGCATTACTATAGTGTTCCAGAGAAATGGGGAAAAAAACTACTAAGCCACAACTCTCTGCAAGTGCAAATACTACGTCAAAGCATACACTGTACAAGGATGCTTACCCCATCAACCCCTCCCCCCCCCCCCCTCCTTCAGACTACCGTAATTCA